TTTCCTTTGCCCTTCTGTTAGGTGGAGACAACCTGTATAGACTCAGAGTTGTCTAAGTCAATCAAGATTTATTCCTGTAAAGGGAGATTGTCTTGGAAAGCTCGAACTATACTCATTTCATTTAGGACTGCTAAGAGCAAGGTAAAGTAGATAAAGTAGAATAGAATTGTAAAAACAATATTATATTGTTAAGGTCTCTTCTCCATTTATTGATAATATCTAAAAGCTTAGGAGGCACTTCAATGTCTATATTCCGCATTTGAGTGTTTGCACACTACATCTAATTATTATATAAACTATGTATCTCTATATACATAACTCACAACATCGGGTATTCTTTAAAGGTGTGAACATCTAATGACACTGAAAACTACTACAGCCCATTTGGTAATTTCTTTTCTTCTTGTTTAGGAGCTCTGTTGCCCCTGATAGTAATTATTCAATCTTTGGAGTCTTTAGACTTGTAGCCTAGTTCTCAAGTCAAACAAAGTTAGCTCCAATCGTCTTTCTTATCAATGAAATGATCAGTTTCCTCTCTGGATTGTACCTGCAGAGGTAGTCGTAAATTCAACCTTTTTTGGTCGTCGACTTTAAACCTTTATAACTCCAAATCTAACTGATAAATATCTTCCAGATAACTTCCTATTAATTTGTAGATTACCATTCCACCGGATTGGTAGATAATTCCTCCATTAGGAACCCTTGGTTACTCTGGGTAATACAATTTCTGTTGTTGTTTTAGTATTATGAATCATTCTTACAACCACAATGCATTTCTAAACCCAGTTGTAACACTTTGTAAAGACCATTAGCTTCTGCAGTAGTATTTCTCAAAGCTCTAGACTCTTCTAATTATTGTAGAGTGGGTATGGATATACTTGCTCCTCGTATTGATTCCTTAACATTCTATACCATATTTCTATGCAAAAATGTCCTGTTATCTTCAGCTCATCCAAAGGATGTCCCATTTTTGAAGCCTTATAACCTTCTAAGTTGGTGATGGATTTACTCCATTCTACTTGCCAGACTTAGTTAAAGGTCCCCTCTCATCTATCCCATGCACAGCATCTGGTCAGATAAATAGCAGCGACGTATACAGTGTTCTACCTACACCCCCAACTCTGCAGTATTACAGTCACAGGACACAACTGAAATCAATATATATGATAATATATATGCCCCGTTAGGGGACTGGAGGCAGGTATTTGAGACTAGAGATTCCAATTCTGAGTGGAGTTACTCTACTTTGAGTGCTTCTTAGGTATCAGATCCTGGTATTTCTAATACCTTCATATTGGCACAATTCTTTGCCATATGGCCAGTTTTTCCACATTCAAACCATTTACTCTTCTGGCATCTAGATTCTTCTGTCGATTTTATTTTCTTTTTGAAGGATAGTAGTGCTTCTTCTTTAGAGTTATTACAGGGCATGTGGCAGAGTTGTTTCTTATTACAATAGGACTCCTAGTTTTGGTATGCCTTGGTTTCATGGAGTAAGGTACTCATTCATTCAGCTCTTGTAATTATTGTTGTTATTTCAATGGCCCCTACATTGAGTCATTCTACTTCTCATCAGAGTGTAGAATGCATGGTATCGTGGAACCGTCAAATTAGCATGTATTCTGAAATGCTTTCATCCTTTATTCGATCTTTGTACATCAGGAGTACTGTTGCTTTGGCTGTGATTCTTTTAACATATGATCTATTAACTTAGTAAAGCTCATTGAATTTCTTGAATAATAGGTCATTTGTAATAAAAGATTGGAATTGTTCCTTGAGATAGTTGAGTACTGTTGATCATTTCAGCTTTGCATTGCCTCCGTATTCCTTGTAGCATTGAGGGTATGTATCTATTGTCTTTCCTTCACAGAATGATCTTATGTACAATCCAGTTTTAGCCTTATCCAATCTACCCTCTTTAGAAGAAGGTAGTAGGTAAGTTCAGTTGCTCATTAGTCTAAGGCTTAGAGTTTGAAATCTTTTCCTTCTCCTGTTAACTTCGGTGATAGGTAGAGCTTGAGTCCAGGAAAGTCGGACAAGTCGCTATTATCTTCTTCAGGATATAATCTTGTATGTTGTTCTCCCAAAAGTTATCCTCCTACATTAGCCATATTGGATTCGATACTGGAGTCCAGGCAGCCTAGAGGACCGAGTACAGTTTTTTTTGCTGCAGTAGAATGGAATTCTCTCAGAAACTGTTCTGTATCCTTATTTGCGGGTTGTTCTGGTTCTTGCCCTTCTTGGCTGGGTTTTAGATACCTTGCAGGCTCGTTCCTTTTAGAGTCATTAGTAGAGTGCTAGGGCTTCTTTCTTATATGGTCTTGTTGTGGGATTTGCTTCCCACTTCAAGTCGTTAATGACTCTATACTGGTATTAAGAAGCTAAATGTACTATAATCCTGCTGCTTCTCCTCGCTAGCATTCTGAGGTAGATGTCAATAGGTTAATCTGGCCTAAATCTGGTGACAATCTTGTAACCAATTGCGGAGGTTAAAAACATATAACGTGTTCGCAAGATGCTAATCATGTTTCGGCATAATGTACAATAGCTGACAGGTGGCCTGCTTTACCAGAGAAGAGGCCAGAGCTGCAAACTAAAAGGTCTTCTTTCAAGGTATAGTGTGAAATCAAAAAAGTAACCATTCAACCAAGTATATTGAAATACTGTCTATCGAAGTCTCCCTTTTCCATCATAGAATCAGGTAGTCTTTAAATACAAAAATCTATTCATGTCTAGCATGAACAAAACTAATCAAAGGTATTGAGTGATACATTTTGGTAAAACTACTTAAGTATCAAAACGATACTTAAAACAAAACATAAAACAAAACCAATAACATAGTACCCATACTAGTTACAGTGTTGACTATTCCTTTACTCAGGAAACATCATAGTGGCAGTGGAGAGAGGTGGGGGGCTACAATTATAACCTGTATTATTAAAAAACTAGGTGGGAGGAAAATAAGAGTAACAGAGTATGGAAATATTCATTAATCTTACCCTTACTTTTTATAGGATTGCACCTCTTACTTAGGCTTTTATTTTATTACTAACATCCAGGTTGTAGATAGAAATACAAGTTCTAAATAGAAATACAGGTTGTAAATAGTCAATAAGTGATTAAGTTGTTAATTCACTGAAGTTCATATAGTTCTAAATTATGCAATCCAGAGTTGAAAATCTCACCCCTCCTTTTGAACAATCTCATAGAAGAATCAATGGTAACGAAATCTTTCCGAGTAATATTCTGATATTTGTCATAGTATCATAATTGATTTTTTCTTTTACCTCTACTACTATGTCAGATAGTGTGTTTTAGCCTTCCCGATTATAAAATCACTTTGATGAAAAGCTGAGCTTCATTTCTTCGAGCCCATCGAGGTTTTACTTTTAAACCTACATTTTATTTCCCTCGTTTGTAAATCAATACTGTTTGGCATACAATAGTTACCAATCGTGGTTTGAAAGTTCCCTGAAATCGTGGTTCTGGAAGCATGATTGGTAGCCATCCAAATTCTCCAAACTTCGACAACCGGCCCCTAAATGATCTTGGGACCGTATTATCGAATTTCCTCGGTTTTTGCGGTATTCCGCTGACCTCAATTTTCACTTTTGGGAAATAATCCAGTTTCTCCTATCATACTCTATTTGTTTTGCTATCTACCATGAGCGGAAGTGGGAAGAGGGTACCGACATTTGGACATTCCCCCCCCCCACCCAAGGACGATTCCGTACCACAAAACCTGGCCATGGCCCGGGAGAGAGGAGGAAATGTTTCTACCATCATGTCATACCCCATCGATCGCACCCTCCGCTGACACACACCTTCAATCTCCGCTGAAAGCAAGCAGTGAGACAGGAGACTTTCTTTTTTAGCGCTCTAGAGGCGATACCGTTTCTACAACATGTGTGGATTTGGACTTTTAGGGAACGGGAGGAGGAATGGGCCGCTTTGTATCCATATTTTAACTACCCAGTCAACAACAACGCCTTGCCCTTACAAGCCGGAAAATGTTAGAAAGGACCATGGTTAGAAGGGATATGATACACGTCTGTCAGAAGAAGCGTTCACAGTATATCACTCGTTTGGCCGAAGTAGGGCAATGGCCGACCTGAAGTGGTCCTTTAATGTCGCGGAAGCATACTCATCTCAGGGTACCCGGGTTCGTGTCACTGTATAATACACAGGCCGAGCTCTGTGGGTATATCAGTGCGATGGTATCTGGCACATGTGGCGATGGAGGGATGGGAAATCAACACTACTTATTGCCAATCGGTACCCTACCTCCCCAACTTACCCCTCAATTGGTAAAGTATCCGGATATAGGAAAACCACTTGGCACTAGAAAGCAATTCTTATCCGGTATAGCCGACACAGCTTATTGCCCCCATAATATCTCACTACAGGAAGGAGCCGCTAACATATGGTATGACCAGCCCCAAGCCAATTATCAATAAACAGATACTTTAGGAATTGGCGAGCATACCTCTCTATATTCCCGAGTCTTTACTTTCTCCCCGCTTCGTACAATTGACCTCTAATGGCAACTATTAATGCGTGGATTTATTTCTGATCTCGGATGCCCTGGTTGATGTTGCAGCGTTTCTAGCTCTTATCCTCCCTCCTCTGTTGCCCCGCCGACCCGATCTAGTATTTCGTTAGTACTGGTGTGGATAGCGAGGTTAGAGAACTTTATCTGCCATTCTCCACCTAGCAGGATTATCCCTGGATCCTACTGACCTAACCTTCCTTCTTTCGCTGCATTTTGTCGTGCATAGTGCTACAGTATCATAGCAATGGAACTTGTTCAGCAAAGCAATTGCTCCCTACATTAGCTTTCAAACCCTTCGGGTTCGCTTTGCCCTCCCATCATAGGTTCTCAAAAAGATCGGGCCCAAATACTTTTGGAGCTAGCATCTCTCGGGTTTGAACCGGTTACGTAAAAGCTGAATGGGAATCTGACGTCCGGTTTGGGTGTTCGAGGAAGAATGTTAAAAAAGAACGAGAAAAGAATAATAATACACAAGATTACACTCAAGAACAACTGGAGGTATTTACATTGGATAAAAAGAATACGATAAGTAACATATGGAATTCGTAATTAATTACCATCCCCTTCTGCCTCTACCCCCACGCGCATAGGCACCCCTAACATTTTGTTGTTGCTGCTGCTGCTGTTGCATCATACTCTGGTCGTAGCCGTATGCACCCATCGCCTGCTGCGGTCCTTGGGGTGGCCTGGTGAGAGAGAGATTAGCCTAGCCCACGAGCATCGACCCAGGAGGTTAAAAGCCTTACATCCCAGCTCTCCTCGGATCAGCCGCCATTCCGTACGCCCCGGCAGCGGCGCCGCTCCTGTCATCGTATCCCCCACCCATCGGACCAGCCCCGTACATGGACGGGTCAACCATCCCACTAACCATACTCATATCCGTCCCACCGGCACTTGTACCGACTGCTGTTGTCGGTGCCCCGCCGGTGGCGCTGCTGCCTCCCCCTCCAGTGGGATTGAAAGCCATCATAGCCGCTGCAGTATTCATGTCCATCCCCCCAACACCAACATTAACAGCAGACGGGTCAACAACAATCCCTGGCATTCCCAATCCCCCAGTCATACCTGAGAGTAACATCATCTGCTCCATCATCTTCCTCGGATCGAATTCCTCCCGCATGGACTCTTGCTTCTGACAATATGCTGTCCAGGTAAACTCGTCGAAGCCGTAGTTGAAGTAATCCGTCACGTCAGCCCCGGGCTTACGCCACGGTTTGTCGGAGGGTAGGAGCGTGTCGGAGTCCAAGGAAATGGACTTTATCGGCGTTCCGTGGTAAGCTGGGTTCCCATTCAGGTCTAGTTTTGAAGAAGAGCTTGTCGGAGGGTGAGGGTGTTGGGAGGATGCGGGACCGGTTGGGGGATGTGGTGTTGTGCTGGTTGATGGTTGGGGCGTTGTGGCTTTTGCGGAGCTGGAGGATTCTGGGATGGGGCGGGTGGGGGCCATGCGGACTTGGTTGTAGCGAGATGGTTGAGGGGGCGGCTCCGGTCGAGTACCGTCTTTTCGCTCAATTACGAATTCAATTTCCTGGGTCACAAGTCAGCTATTTGAGGAATTCCAAGTTAGAATTGTGTGTTTGTAGGCACATCTTCGCTGTCGTCGACTTCTACTTCTTCCTCTACTTCTTCCTCTTCCTCTTCACCTTCTTCTAGGTCGCCTTCCTTAGCAGCACGCTCGGGAGCGCTATCTGCCATTGGTGTATCTCCTTCAGAGTGCTCAGGGAGGTTTTCAGGTAGTGCGGTGGGAGGGGAATTTGGAGCTTGCTGGAGAGTCGCACTGCTAATGGAAGTCTCCTCCGTTGCTGCTGGATCATCTCCGTAGAGGTATGCGTCTTCATCTTGGTCCATTATTGATTTCTTTTAAAGGGGTAAATTGTGTCGAGTAATTGGGTTCGAATAGTTGTGGTGATTGGTGTGTTGATGTGGTTTAGTGGAAGCCGGGGCGAGGTAGAGCGGGTAACTCCCCTCATTAGCCACTTTTCCGAACATCACATCCCTGCCTCCAATTTCCTGAACCGTTGGAGTTGAGCCTCAACTGCCTTAGTCCATCTAACTAGCATCCCCTCGATCTACGCTCGAGCGCGTTGTGAATGTTGAAAGTCTGAGGGAGAAGATATGGATAATCAGAAATTGCCAGCGGGGGTGCCGAGCTTTTTTTCTTGGCCCTCACTGACAATGTGCTCACAAATACACCCAAGTGCACATCTCATCATATATCACGTGCATGCTCAGAAATTTCCCCCTCTGCATCTACCATCACTGTTATCAGATCTTACATTCTTACGAGATGAGATAGCAGGTCTTGGCGGTACTGCTCAGTATAACAACAACATCCAAAGACCCTTTCATTCATTGAATCTATCCCTTCCACCAGTGTTCAACTCACACCACTTCAAATCGCCAGATAAGACCCTCACCTCTTATGTCTCTCTTCGGGCGAATAAATACACCCACCTCTGGAACCCCATCACTTTTGTAATAGCCTTCCGCATCTTTCGCAAGCTTTAGAGAAATGCTAACAATATGTAACTCGCGTCGTTCAGCGGTGGACAACAACAGCAGCAGCCACAAACTCCACTATTTGGCTCAACAACCACAACTAGCGGTAGTAGTGGAGGCCCCCTTGGCGGCGCGTCGCAGCCAGCTGCCCCTGCCCCTGGTGGATTGTTTGGCGGCGGACAGGCGCAAGCGCAAACCCCAGCAATAGGTACTGGTTGCGGTATTTCCGGTGGAGCTGCAACTCCGGCCACAAGTGGAGGAGGGGGAGGGGGGGGGGGGGGATTATTTGGTGGTGCTCTAACTCCTGCCGCCACTCCTGCCCCCGCAAGCGGCGGTCTGTTTGGAACTCCCTCAACAACTACCCCTACCACCGGAGTCGCGCCCACAGGGGGACTATTTGGTGGTGCTACTCAAGCAGCTACCTCAGCCCAGCCCGCCGGAGGACTCTTTGGAGCTGGAACAGCGGCATCAGCTTCTGCGCCCGCTACTGGAGGGGGATTGTTTGGTGGGGGAACTTCGCAGCCGCCTCCTAAGCCTTTATTGTATGTCGCATCCCATATTCTAGAAATTTCTCGGCTCACGTTTATAGTACTGGCCCTTCTGCAGCAACCACTTCTGGCACCGGTGCATTTGGTAGCACGGCAACTCCAAGGCCTGGTGGATTATTCGGTGGGACTACTCCTAGTACCACACAACCGCAGCAGCAATCACAACAGCAGCAGAACACAGTTCCAGCAGCCACCATTGATGCTTCAAAACTTATACCAACTACCAGATTCGGAGACTGCCATGCAGAGGTTCAGAGAATTCTAGAGGGCATTGAGTAAGACTTCGTTCCAGATCGTCTGATTATAGACCTCCCCCACTCACATACCTTGCACTCCAGACAAGAGATCCAAGAGCAAATCCGCATCGCCACAGAGCTAACAGCCCACTTCCCTGGCCACCGCGCAACCATCGACTCTATTCCCTCAGACACCGCAGTTCTAACCCACAAGCTCGCAACCACCAAGTCCTTCCTCGCCGCTGACGACGCAGCACTGAGCACCGCGCGTCAACACCATAACGAAGACGATGCAGCCGCAACCCTATCCATCCGCAACGTTGACCTTTTCCGTGTGCTACCCGCCCAGCGCAGCCAGTACATCGCGCAGCAGCACAACCAACCCATGCGCGAGAACGACATCACGAGCAATAAGCCGATGATAAACTACTTCGACACGCAGATCGCAAAGATGGACCAGAAGTTGGATCTGTTCCTAGAGAGTGTGCAGGAGGTGGAACTCTCGCTGCGTAGTGTTGAGGAACAGGCCACCATGGGTAGTATCGGTGGAGAAAATCTCACAGCGCTCACGGGTGGGGTTGGAGGTCGGCAGGACGCTAGGAGGTTGAATAGGACGTTGAGAGAGTTCAATGATGCGCTGAAGGACGTTAGTGGGAGGATTGTGGATTCTAAGGATGGGATCAGGGCTTTAAGATCTAGGAGATAGATGACAGGATATCTTATGTTTTAGTAATGCGTGTATAGTATGGAAAGTGTGGTTCTCTTTTTTCTCTTCCTCTCTCCCTTTTCTCATTTCTACATGGTTGCCTTGCTCTTTCACAGTGGACATTGAGTAGCTTCAGGTTGAAAAAAGGTAGCGAGGGCTTCAGCTCATAGCCGGGATGAGCGTAAAATGATTCATTGGGAGGCTATTTGTAGAGATGTGAGATGTCGGAATGTAACACTATTCGGGGATGTTAGTTTAAGGTGGGAATGAGGACGCTGGGTAAACAAATTGGTGAACGACAGAACATAGATTCCCGGTACAGATATGAGAATATAGTGTTGATAGCTAGAGTATTGCGCGTCTAGACCAAAAAATAAGAGAAAAGATATATTGCCTAATACAACAAATTTCCCAAATAAAAACTCTCGATGTTAAAACGCCTAAAATAAAGGAATAGCAAATACGAAAAGAAATAACTAAGCAGCATTCGCTACCTCTGCCACAACCCGTTCTCCTTCCTCCAGCATATCCGTTATAGTTCCTAAATTCTTGATCATCCCCTTTCCGTGTCCCACAAGCAGTAGCTTCTCTGCATTTGCTGGTAAGCCGAGGTATGTTGGTGGTTCTCTCTCTGGAAGCGCGTTGACCCATTGCATGAAGTCTGGCATTCCGATACCTTCAGGGACGCAGAGAGGCTGGTCGGTGTCAACCAATTTGAAGTCAGAATTGAAAGCGTCAGGGGTGAACACGGATTTGACTAGCTCCGCCAAACGCTGGAAATCACCCTCGTCATCGATTTTACCGCCATAAGTCTCCGTAATAAGAGTACGAATCATGCCCCAAGGAAGCTTGGTTGGAGCAACATTCGTGCGGCCACCAGAAACGTGATCAATCCAAGTATCGATAATATAGGCCGAGCACTCATACTATCCCAAGACTTAGTGTACTCCTCAGTGCAATAAACAAGGGCGAGCGACTTACATCACTATCATTGAACTCCCACCATTCTTTCCACCCTAGGTTAGGAACGTAGCGTAGTCTCTCCTGAACAACCGCGTGTAGGAAGGAGAGAAGAAGATACACCCTTGCCTTCTCGGTAGGCTGTTGTTTGGCTGGACGTGTCGACAGCGTTGAAAGTGAATCCTTCATGTTGGCACGAACCCCGGCAGGTTGTTCGTACATGAGTACGCGTGAAGCACGTAGCAGATTGATGGGGATTTTAGGCGAAGACTCCATAGAGAGGAACAGCCTGAAGTTAGGATGGGGTCGTAATGCATCAAGCCTCTTCTCTAACGATTGTAACCATGCAGGAGTAAGATGCACGTTCTTGACCAAGACCCAAGTCCCAGCCGAAGCGGCATTGCTGACCGCCTTGTCTGCAGTTGCCAAACCTTCGTTTGAGCCCATGGCAATATTGGTGCAGCTAACCCTAAGCTGCTCCACCAGACCATCCACTTTGTAACTTGCATCGAAACCAGGTGAGGAGGCGAGGGCAATGGGGGTGGTTGCAGATACCTGAGCCACAACCTGGCGGAGGTCTCCAGCAGCATCCAGAACGTCCTTTCCAAAGACAGCGCCTACAAACTTCTCCGCAGATGGAACAAAGCGGTCCACTCTGCCAAGTTTGACAAGCAGAAGTTTGTTTAACTCTTGGTCAAGATCGGGTAGCTTCCCGTCCCAAACGACAGGAACAAAGCTCTCAGCAGTCTCCTCCTGAAAGAACTTCCCCCACCCTTCGGCGGTGATATCCTCAATGTAATTCTTGAAGATTGGAAGTGTCGAAGCTCGCCGAATGACTTCATCCCTCCTGTCCACCTCGGTCGAAGCGTCTACACCCGGAAGGCCATCATCTAAGATGCGGTCAATCAAGGATTTATCCATCTTGGATGGAGACGCCTGGGCCAGAAGCATTGCCAGGGTCACGCGGTCTTTCTGGAGCAATCCCAAGGCAGTACGTTGATAACTATAGAAGATCAGTAGGATAATACAGGAGATACCTATTAAACTCACGTAGTAACGAAAAGGTCATGGAGAATTATTTGAATACGAGCGTTGTAATCCGTCTCAGCTTGTAAACGCTTGCTGTCGTGTAGGACGGAATGGAAGATGCCGAGGAAATACCTAAATATTTGGTTGGTTTGTTGCCAGGTTAAAGGGGGTGGGTTAGGCAACTTACTGGAGCGAGAACTGGTAGAAGTGGTTTAGGTGATGGAGTTGTTCAAGGACCGCAAAGACAGCACTGCATGCACGGGCAATTACTTGATACTGGAGGGTGATTGTTTCTACCTCGGTCATTACACCATCTGTTTCTGCCATCTTGCGTGACACCTCTGCGGCCTCGGTCTTCAGGGTCTCAAGGGTGTCGATGACCCGATCATCATCCAAAATATTCCCCCGGGATTCGTTTAACGCTTGCAAAAGACGCTTCTCGAGTTGCCGAAGATGTAGTTTGAACTCGCCTTGGAGCTTCATCAAGTTCGTCCTGCGTCGGTCGACATCCGGTCTCTCGAACTTCAGTGCCTGGTTCAAAGACTGGGTCTGTAAGCTACTCTGGGTAACAGTAAAATTGACAAAGGTAGTACGACTGCAGATATCGGGGGCGAAGGATGCCGACGGATCACGAGTGGACAAATATAACTTGAAAGCAGGCGAGAAATCGATTTCCTGTTTTCCGAGCTGAATCAATACCCGACCTCCGGTTTTCTGGTATTCCTTGTTCAAGACGTGATTGAGAATGGGGTCTAAATGCTCCGCGTCCTGGATAAGAATAGGATTTCCGAAACGGAGTGAGCTCTCTAACTGCTTGGTAAATGAGTCGTCCAGGAAACTTGTGATGGTAAGACGCCGCTCTTTGCTCTCGTTTGCCAGGAAGTCTGTGACTCGGCCAGAAGGGTCGATAATGAGAGGATAACGGTTGAATCTCTTGAGGACAATCGCATTCTCGGTGCAAAGGTCATCCACTGGCAACCCGTTCTCTTGCCACACAAGTCTCTCGTCGGCAGTTGATAAATATTCTGTAACAGGATTATGTTCCTTATACTGAATACCGGATAACGAGAGATGGTTGAGCCAGTCGTCTGCCATCGATTTGCGATACTGTTGATCATAGAGCCCACCATATGCTAGGAATGCCGCAGACACAATAACGTCTCCAATCAACGTCCCTATTTGTGTTTCAAAGGACTTGCTGCCATACTCCCAACGAGTTTTCTCAGAAGACAAACTATCCAAAAGCTTAACACTGCGGTCAACTTTTGACTGGACACGAGACATCTCAGTTTTGAGAGCCTGAGTTTCGCTAATAAGGGCTGCATATTCGTCTTTGTATCGAGCAATGCTCCGCTCAAGCTCTTGGATCGTATCTTGCATTGCCTGTGCTTGTGCTTTTGTCTGTTTGGCTTGCTCTTCCAACTGATCAACCTCGTCCCTCAAAGGCCCTACCCGATCAAGAATCTCGGCGTAGTTGACCTGTGCTTCTACCCATTGAGCTAATGGCGCACATGCTTTGCTTGCCCTATTCATCGCTTCTGGGTTATAACTCGGCGAAGACAGGTAATCCTTTTGCATCTTAAGTCGAAGACTCTTGGTCATCTGCTTCTCGTTGTCAAAGTTGATGATGCTCGAGACGAAATCTGAACGTCCCACGATAGATTGTACTGTTGACCATGCATCCACCTTATGACCCAACAACGTGCAAACAGACTCCATAGCGAGTCGAACAGCAAGTGGAGGCTTCCCCATGACCCTGACTTCGTTCAAGTGGGTTTTCTTAATATTTCCGACACTCCTTTGGGCTTCAATGACAGCTGGCTCGGCCTTTGCAAGATCACTCAACACAACTTCCCTTCGCTGGGCAACTACCTTCTCCTGGACTTCCAACTCTGCTTGAACTTGTAGAGAGGCAGCTCGTTTTTGTTCGGTTTCCTGCTGATCGGCGACCATTCTTCGGAGTTTTTCGTTCGCCTCGGCGCTCTTTCTCTCGAGTTGTCCTTGTTTTTCGGCCAAGCTTGTTCGGAGCTCCCGCACCTTGTCGACCGTATCCTTTAATTTCTCCAATCCAACATTCAAGTGTCGCTGTTGCTCCTCAAGATCCTCGCGTTTCTCGTTATAAAGTTTAACATACTGAGCAACGAAGTCAAGGAAATGTCGGGGTGTTAGATATGTTGTCCTGTTTTGTTGCTTCTGGAGTTTGGCGTTGAAGCGGTGAAGCGAGTAATGGATATAAACCATCGCATTGACAACTGCCTCGCGATGGGAAGGCGGCAGTGAAAGTTCTCTATAGGCCACCGGAATACTATCGGGCGCCCTGTAGGTTGCTCTGTCGAGATCAAGAGATTGTGTTAATTCCATCCCAACTTGGAAGAAAGCCTGGTCCGACCAATCTCCAAACCAGTTAAGAACGCAACGATTGAATAATGCTGGGGATGTTGCTGCCTTAGATGATAGACCGTCCTCTGGGGGATTCATGGTGAAGACGACATGCAGATTCTTGACGATCTGTTGAGTGAACCATTTGTACAACTCCTCTTGAGAATCTAGAAGTAATCCTTGTCGCTGAGCACCTTCCTTACAGGCAGTCATCAAAGTTGCGAATTCGTCTCCCTCGAAAAGGCCGGGAACCTCCGCATTTGCTAGCAAGGTATTCATGCGTTCCAGGAAACCAGAATCGAGGACGTTAGACTCATCCATGATAAAACATATTTTCTCCCCTTTGCAGCCGCACCGCCGGAGAACATCCCGAAGATCCTCGTCGAAGTCTTCTGCGGAATATTTGCCATGAACTTTAATCTGGAAGACTTTGAGCCCATTCATCCAGGCCACAAATCGAGATAAAGTAGTCTGAGAACTCCGGTTAGAAAGATAAAAAGAACAATGAGGGAGATATAAACGTACCTTTCCACTTCCACTGACACCGATAAGAATCAAATGCCCCTGTGGTTGTCTGAAGACCCTGTCAATGCGCAATACATGTTCAAGTACATCGTTGAAGAGGATCAACGGCACATCCACTTCCTCCTCACAGAAAGTCTTTAGACGTGCCTTCGCGAAATCTCTTAATTGTTCTCTCTCCACAGGAACGTAGTTCTTGGATAACCAATTCGAAAACAGTATTGGCCCACCCAGCGCCTTCCTTTCGTCAATGCCAGGGAAATGCTGAAGGGCAATTCTCTTGGTCGCACCTGCGGTCCATTGTCTCTCATCTTCTCCGACGAGACGATCTTCGAACAACCGCAGTGCTTCATGAGCCCATATCCTGACCAGCCCTTCAACTGAGAGAGTTTCCAATGGCCTCAAGGCCTCGTACAAACCCCTAACCCATCTCGTAAGCTCTCTGGGGGAGTAAACATAGTGCGGTTGAATCTTCGGGGTAAATCTCTGTTGTGACTCTAAGTAGAATTGAACCATCGCTTTCGTAAGGGGCCCCGAGTATCCCCGAAGGGTGGGAATAATCTTCAAGACAGCACTATTAAAGGTTCCATAAATTTGTGTCAACGACAGCTCACCAGGATAATCGACCATGATGAGTGGTGCGTGCCGAAGGAAACGAGCTCCCATGGGTGTACGGCCAGCGTCGGTGGGGGGATTACACGCTCCTACGAACTGGATGCGGTCTAAGGTGACCCAAGTTTTGTCGGAGGTCCTCCAGAAACCGTTTTGTTCTACCAATTGTCTTAGGAATGATATAGCGCGCTGTGTCCCGTACTTGTCTGGTGCTGGCAAGTTAATCTCGTCACAGAATAGCACTAGCCAGCGCCCGATTTGGGTAGGGGAGAGCATCACTCCGTTCAGCGTCTTCTTATACTCGCAATATTGCTCAAATGTCTTGATGAGAAGGTCTGGTGTGGTAGCGCTGGAAAAATTTAACCCAACGACTTCCATGTTTGGAAGCTTTCTTAGAGCGCTAAACAATGTCATGGTTTTACCGGAACCTGGAGGCCCACACAAGAGTAGTGGTTTGTGTTCTGCCAGCCACGAGTATAAGACGTCTTCGTGTCGAACGGTGTCCAGAGTGGGGATGACGAGATCGGTCTGGGTGACAGAGTGAGTATTGATTTCAATCGAAGGTACTTGGTCTTGCCATGGTGTCCATTCTGCTTTGGGTAGAGAAACATCGAAGTCAATAATAGCGCCTCCTCCGGTCAAAGGCGGAAGCTCAATTGTCGCTAAGCCGCACACATAGTGCCCAAAGCATTGTCGGTCTATCAAAGGACAGTCTCCCGTAAAGCTCCAGACCAACGCCAAAAGTAATTTCTTCGAAACGTACGCTTCGACTTGCTCATCTTCAAGCGGGAAGTCGGCGTGTTGAATGTTGTATTCGATCATGGTCCGGCATATCTTATTGAGCAACGAGAAGAGTGTGTTTAGAACTCGAACTTCTGTAAATTCCATGATATGCTTGTACTTTCTGGCTTCCGCAAGGGTTTCCACCATAAAATTGTCATTGTCAAGAAGTTGACCGAGAAGTTCTGCCATGTGAGATTGAGTTGAAAGCGCCTTAACCGAGACCTGCCCAGAGCTGATAGTATTATCCTCATCGAGATCCTCAAATATAACTGTCCGAAGAGACTCGAGGTAATGGGTAACCATCATTTTTGAGGTGACTGTATCTTCACTGAACCAAACCATACCACATCGGCTGACTGTGGCTAAGGTAGCATATTTCAATGTCTCAACCTCAAACATGATGCGAACGTTCGGGGGGAGGTTAAGACGTTCTCCGTTTGGCAAGGTGAGTAGCTTGTTATCATCTAAAACACTACATGATATTGTTAGTTAATACCTAACCACGGATAGGGGTAAAGGTAAATACCTGTTCAAGTTCTCAACCCACTCCGGATCAACATCACCATCAAAAACAATCCAATGCCTCTTTGAATCTTCACCACGTAGATTGTCGACGATTTTCCTCAAAATACTAGTAAAAAGTCCATCGGTCCATTCTCTCGTTGTCGAATCGAGACTTCCGTATAAAGCCTCCTTCGACATAACCTTCGAGTCAATTATGTGATAAACGCCTTCTTGGCTCTCAACTTGCTGCAAAGCCTGAAGTAACACTTTCCAGGCACCAGATTTTCCCGAACCAGAGTTTCCAACCATCATCACACCATGGTGAATAGTTTGAATTTGGTATAGCTGCAAAACCTTGGTCATCCAGGTATCTGTCAAAACAAGATTTTGTTCGGTGGCAATCTTTCTTATTACTTCCTCCAGTTTACCTAGATTTCCGGGCACGTACTGGATTCCCGGGAACGACTCTTCTTCAATTCTAAGGGATTACATTAGAGACGAAACATGGTTTAACATAGGATTTGAACTTACTCCCTCATAATCTCTACATCGCTCCGAATCAATTTCGGGGCTATAGTTTCTCTCAGACTCTGCACAATAATCTGTGCCTCCCAGTCGGAGCCCGATATCTTTTCCCCGTCTAAATCAACGCCGTCGTTTACCAGCCTCGCTCTCTTTAATCCTCCAGAGCTAACGAGCACACTCTTCAGTGCGCGCAACCCAAAATCATAATGCGCCTGTTTTGAAAGTCGTGAAGCACAACGGTCGAAAAATGGTACTGTCTGCTTGGAAAGCTGCTTCGCCTGGTTAAATCCTTGCGAGTAAAGCATAACTTCGGCAATAAGCTCTTTATCAGGCTTCGACATGGCAACACTTCGGAAGAGTTTCTTAAGATTGTCCGGCAAATTCGAGCGGCCTGCATAACCAGGATTCATGGTGATAAAGATGCCTAAGTGTCTGGGTTAACACCGGAGTTCCATCTGAGATGTATGGGTATCCACACCTGTATTTTGATGCACCTTGAGCTGTCTGCCAACCAATTCTATCTGCGCGTTAGAGTCCTCAATAGCTTTCTTTAATCCAAGCTGGATGTTTTGAACTTGTTGCGACACAGCGGACAATATTCTCTCCTCCAGACGGTTAAACTCGTCGAAACAGCCCCATGCTCCGACCTGACAGATCCCCAAGAAGATCCTCCCCATCGCCTGGAAATCGAAGGTGTCATCACAACAAAATACCAAGGTGAACCGACCAAGTTGAACACCGAGTGCCTTGACCGATTCAGTTTTGCCAGTTCCTGCTGGGCCGTACGGAGATCCTCCGAGCCTTTGGCACAAGGCTTGGGTCAATGTCAAGAAGCACCTATCAGTCAGCGGTGTGCGCACAAGACGCTCAGCCACACCAAGATACTCGAATCCGTATTCCAGCTCAGCATTTGCCATTCTGATCTTTAGTCTACTCAGATACTCTCCTTCATCTTGGTAATGATATCTCATTTGGAGCAGCCATGTGTAATCTTCTGTTGAATTTGCTCCGGAATTAACAAGTCTAAATATAACGTCGCGTTGATGAACAAATTCAGTGATTAAATGTTCGCATTTTTTTCTCTCGATAGGCCCGAGATCCCCCAAAACCGTTGCCGCAAGTAGTGCGAGCACCTTAACCTCCTGCCCATATAAGTCCTGTAGGCCTGCACCGCCTCCAGCCAAAGCCTTATCCACCACTGTTGTCCAAACTACTTGGGTTGCAAGGACTAGTATCTGTGCCGGGTATTGCGCAATATATTCGGAGAGTTTTTCCTTGTTTAGATCTTTCGTGGCGAAAATATCCCCGAAATCCCGCACAGCCTCTGCCAAAAGTTCGGCCAGGGTAAGTTTCATGTTGGTTTCGAGAGCGGTTAGCCAGTCATTGATCTTTGGTGTCTTGATCAGGGAGATTTCTTTCTTCAATCTCACTTCCTCGCCCTCCTTCGATGTGAACCCCAAGATGGTGGAATCGTCGTCATTGAGTGTCAAACCGGAAAGCCCTGCAAACATCTTCTTGAAATGTTTCTGGATACGATAGGTATCGTTACTGTTTCCAATGATCTCAAGAAGATCCTCGTCACCGACAAAATAAAACCGAGGGAATGAAACCCTCTCACGCTCCAAGTATTCGCCAAGCGCCTTCTGAATCTTATTGAGGAGTTCTGCCAGACGCTCCAGGGACTTCTGGGCACCAGAGATGTTCAGAACGTCGAGAATGTAAGGCGACTTGTAGACCTTTTTCATAACGGTGAAAAACTCGGAATTTATGTTTTGGAAACGGGAAGATTCGATAGGTAAAAGGTGCTTGATGTCAGCGTTCCCGGTGAAGACGCCTTCGAGATAAACCCATTGGCGCTGTACATCAATCCAGATGTCGAATAAGACATGAACTCTGTTCAGTTTGTCTTCCCATGAGGACGCCTCATCTTCAAACTCCTTGTAATATGGGGAATGCCTCATCGCTTGGAGCGAATTAAGATTTTCGCTACATTTAGCAAAAAGATCATCCCAACCACGTATCAAACGACATTTATTCTGATAACTGACGAGATCGAGCACATAATTAGACCACGTTTCCCGAACCTAAAGTAATTATTAGCCTAGATCAGATCGCTAGTCCAGGGGATGTAGGGTTCGAAGCTACAGACCTGCTTCAAAAATTCCTCCAGGGCCATTTCTCCTTGTGCCTGAGCAATAATGTCACGAATCACGGGCTCACTGGCAACCAGATTGAGATCCCAAACTGTGCCTAGGTTGAGGGTGGACAAAAATAGTCGATGTCCTGGCTTTAATGCCTTAAATATCTTACCCCAATGTCTCTCCCTAACTGCCTCCGATTTCATCTCCGACAAAAGTGGGTTAACTTTGACTAATTGGCGAAGCACATTTTGAATGTGCTCAAAAGCGGCATATTGTCGCATCCGGCTAGGCATCTCCTTGGTCACGTTAATCAAACCCTCGAGTCCTTGACGAATCTTTCTAGTAATAACAGAGGACCAAGGAGTATCGCGCAGATCGTTCAGACTCTTCCAAATTGTGGAAAGAGCAGACCAAACGGATTTGAAATCCTGGACTTCCTCGAGGATTGAAACCAGGATATTCTCCGGGCCCGCAGGGATATCCAAAGCTTCTTTAGCTTTCGAAACCATCTCAGATTCGGACTTGAGTTGGGTCAATCTTGTCTCGAAGCCGCTCAAAGTTTGCGATGCCTCCTCCGGAGCTATGGTACCCGAAACAGGCTTTTGGTCATTCCACTCTCCAACGATATTTTTAATCTTGTCTGTAACAACGGTATCCTCTGCCACAATCTTTGCTCGAAGGGCGTCTAAAAGTCGTCAGTATTAAAACAATTATTCCCCAATATCAACAAAGTACTCACCAGTTTGATCCTGCACAATTTTGCTCTTACGGGCCAATATTTCATTCAGAGCGGCCCATTCTCCGTCAATCTGGTCAACAAATAGCCAGTCTTGCTGGAACTGGTATCTCTGCCGAGAGAGGGTAGTTTCTCCCTTTCGGAAAAGCTCAACTTCCGGTGCCCAAGACTTAACCTTGCGCTTGCATTGTTGCACAATAGTGATAAAAGATACGGCCTGCGCCGTAGATGAAGCCTCAAGAGATTGACCCTCTAAGTCACGTCGGGCTTTCCCAATTTCTGCGTGAGCTTCCCTCATACGATTCCCAAGTTTATTGGCAAACTTGACAAGGATATCGTGCTGCCATTGATCGTATTTCGCGTTGACCTTCGTCTGAACTTGCTCGTAATCTACGGAAAGGTTACCGAATGACTGACTAACATCTGAGGTGTCGAATGTGGATCGGGTTTTTCGAATTTCTGTCAACAATTGAAGCCATCGTTCAAGATTATCTCCAAGGATATCGTAGACTTGTTCCGACTGCAAATCCCACAAGGATTGGAATCTAAGCCATTTTTCGACATAAGTCCCAACTGCCGCCAATTTTTGTTCTATTGCTTCGTATGCGTCAGAAAGCGTAGGCGCACAACTCGCAGGCTGTGCACAGTCAATAAAGGAAAAAGAGGATTCCCAAGAGTATCTAAAACCTACCAGATCGGAAAACAGCATTTCAGAGTCCCCTGTCTCGAGGCCCAATCTGCGCCGCTAACCTTGGGGGTTAAAAGTA